AAACAAACAATATAAACGATAAAGCAAACAAATGAAATTGTGTGAGAAAGGTAAAAATGCAAGAAGTGTAAATATGTACTTTAGGGTGAATACCCTCCATGAAAACAAAAAAACATTGATACGGTTATTCCGTCAAAAAAATAAAACTTATTATACATTAAGACTTACGCCAAAATAATTCGGAAAAAATTTAAAATACTTCCCAAGATCGAGTTTTTTTATAAATAGAATAAGTTTTCAAAATGTATTTTTTCTAAAAACTCACGCCAACGGATAGAAGAGTTTAAGCTTATTAAGATGTGCATAAAAATGCTTAAAAATTTTATGAGATTTTGGATATACTTTCAAACCATTAATGATTTTCCGAAATATTTTGGAAGTTTTAAAATATAATAAACCTTACAATTCCAATGGGAAAAGCGCTATTTATTTATTTTTTTTTGTGAAGCACCCTAATGTATATTTACATGTTTTTAGGTATTTTGTCGTGAGAAATTGAAGAAGATACTTTTGCTGAGTTACTTTTAAGCGAGTTGTTAACACAATAAATGGTGGGTCAATTCCGCATGTAACCATATATGTATGTATGTATGCTCACATGTTTGTTTAAACTCATACATAACTCAGAAAGCAGTGGAGTAGGAAACTCATGATAATGATAATAAACCCGATTGTTGCGATGAGATATCTGCACTTTTACAATCGCACCATGCGCACGGCTCACCTCGTACCAAAACTGGTCCAGACGAATTACAATATTTGGGCAAAACTAGCCTAGTCTACATCCAAATGACCAGTCAACAGACCAGTGGGCCACTGGAACAATATCTAAGTAATTGTAGACAATTTAAGTCGAAATTAAAAAAATATACTAAAATTGTCAGCTGCCTGCAGATTGTCACATTTCCTTCCTCATTTTTTATAAAGCTCTGCAACCAGACACTTATTGCGGATGCGAAACTATGCAGGTTGTTGGTCAGCGAGCATATAGCGCATGTGTGTGTGTGTGTGTGTGTGTGTGTGTGTGTGTGTGTGTGTGTGTGTGTGTGTGTGTGTGTGTGTGTGTGTGTGTGTGTGTGTGTGTGTGTGTGTGTGTGTGTGTGTGTGTGTGTGTGTGTGTGTGTGTGTGTGTGTGTGTGTGTGTGTGTGTGTGTGTGTGTGTGTGTGTGTGTGTGTGTGTGTGTGTGTGTGTGTGTGTGTGTGTGTGTGTGTGTGTGTGTGTGTGTGTGTGTGTGTGTGTGTGTGTGTGTGTGTGTGTGTGTGTGTGTGTGTGTGTGTGTGTGTGTGTGTGTGTGTGTGTGTGTGTGTGTGTGTGTGTGTGTGTGTGTGTGTGTGTGTGTGTGTGTGTGTGTGTGTGTGTGTGTGTGTGTGTGTGTGTGTGTGTGTGTGTGTGTGTGTGTGTGTGTGTGTGTGTGTGTGTGTGTGTGTGTGTGTGTGTGTGTGTGTGTGTGTGTGTGTGTGTGTGTGTGTGTGTGTGTGTGTGTGTGTGTGTGTGTGTGTGTGTGTGTGTGTGTGTGTGTGTGTGTGTGTGTGTGTGTGTGTGTGTGTGTGTGTGTGTGTGTGTGTGTGTGTGTGTGTGTGTGTGTGTGTGTGTGTGTGTGTGTGTGTGTGTGTGTGTGTGTGTGTGTGTGTGTGTGTGTGTGTGTGTGTGTGTGTGTGTGTGTGTGTGTGTGTGTGTGTGTGTGTGTGTGTGTGTGTGTGTGTGTGTGTGTGTGTGTGTGTGTGTGGTCGCGTGCGTGTAAGCGCAGTAATGCGATCGTATTTTAACGTTAATAACAACAACAACAAGCGGCTTAAACAAACGCTAAATTTTTCGAAATGACTTACATTTGCACATAAATATGTACATTCATACATACACATTGGCATGCACACACATATACACCATCAACGGCTATGTGGTAATGTTCAAGGCGCGAACCAAACCAATAAAACGCTTGCCTTCAACAGTTCAGTTGAATTTTTGAGCTTGAAGTTGCGCGTGCGCATGCGCTTTTAACATTGCATTGCGGTCGTCGGAGGGAGAGTGATTAAAATCTAAAATTCAATTAAATACTTAAAATCAAAAAATTCAAAGAGCTTAAAATGTTGCCTATTGTGTCACAGCTCATGGCATTTTGGCTACTTTTAACGCTTCATGCTCAAGCGCATCCAATTACCAGCAATAATGATGCAGCATTTGCGCAATCAGTGGTGGACAAAAGCCAGGCTCTGCTTGAGGCTGAAAGCGACACCGCCCAAAACGTAGCCATCGTAGCTGACGATGCGAACACTGCCGCTGACAATAGTCCAAACTTTCGTGTCGATGAAACCCAGTTGGCTGAGTACACTGTGCACTCGCAGGCAGAGGATGGCGGCAGCAGCAGCAGCAGCAGCAGCAGCTCAGGCGGATTTAGGGTGCGCAGAGTCAAAGCATTTAAACTGTCATTTATGAATTAAATTGAATTTTTTGTTCTTGCCTCTTTACCTCTTCGCCGTTTGCAGATATCTTTGCTGCCAACACAAGAAAAAACTGCCGAGTCAGTGAATTTGGAAAAGGAAGCCATACCATCGAAGATTTATAGCACATATGACCAGACTCAGAAGAAAGTAGCCGATTTGGCCAATGTAAGTACATACATACATACACAGTACATGCTAACACGACCTACACCTGCATACATACAAGCTCTTACTTGTAAAGCTTTTGTCAAAGACTATGTAACAATACTTTTTTTGAATTGCATTCGCTTTTAATTTCCGTTTTATTGCTTTTGTTTATGCAGCTGGAACCCATTGTGGACACAATAAGTGAGCATGAAAAGTACGGCAATAACGGTGATATGTTCGATGGCTTAGCGCGCTCTATTGTGAATGGCTATGAGGCTTTTTCAAATATTCTCAACGCTTTTATACAAGTAAGTAAAGCTTTTGTGCTTATTTATGTTAAATGTTTGATTATGGATATGCCTTCGATATGAAGATGTGTACTTAAATCAAAGCGGAAAAGGAGTATATTGATTTTGTGTGTGTGTAAAATTTTCAGTTGCACGCTGTTATTACTTAGTGCTTTTTTGTACTCAGTATTAGTGTTTCTAGCAATCGGGCAATCGAGAATTATATATTTTAATATCGATAATGCCTAACATGTACAGCCGATTGTATTTCTGCCTTAAAAAAAGAGCTTCTGATAAAAAATACAGTCGCCGTTCGGAGTCGACGTAAAAGTGTAGGTCGCTCCACTTTGTGTGACAACATCAAATCGAAGGAGAAGGTCGGCCAAACACTAACATATGTATAATCGCGATTCTTTTATTATTATTAATGCCCTCTAATACCCAAGCCCTCCTCCAGGCGTTCTTCACAAAAATCGTACTGGCGGCAAATGTAAACGATTTTATACAATAACTAATGGGTATGGCAAAATATTTGCAGAAGCTTTGCAAGCTATCAAAAGCTTTCTTTTTACACTTTGGCTCCAGTTTGCAAAAGCCATACACATTTGCAACGGTAAAAGTTGTGCTTGTAAATGTTGTGTTATCAAACATCCATTCTGTTTTGGGTGTGAGTTTCTCTAACGCGAAAATAACGTTTGTTTCCAGCATGTGTGCTTATCTGTTATTATTTTTACATGTGTTTTGGTTGAATAAAGGTCAGTTGAGCTTTGGAGCATATATTTCTTGATGAGTGCCTCAGTTAAATGTTCTTATCAGGGACCGTAACAGTTACAACTTTTATTAAAAAAATCACTCTTTAACAATAATTTTTTGACTTTTATTTAATTACTTTAACTACTTTTAAAAGTAAAAGTCACTGACTGATTTTTATTGATGACTTTTATAAATAAAACTCTTCAATAACTGTTATCTAAGCCATTTAATATAAAAATCAAAAATAATTGTTATTTTGGATTTCTAATATAAAAATCAAATATAATTGTTATTTTTTTAAATTTTGCATAAAAATTGCATATAAAAATTTCTTTTCAAATTTGAGTCTCGGTGCAAAACGAAATCGATTGGTATGTTTCACTTAGTTGTAGGACATTTCCTTCATAGTGAATTTTTCCATGATAGTTTTCATCAATAACTGTTATGTTCGGTCCCTGGTTCTTATATCACAGCTAAACCCATGACTTTTTTTTACAAATCAGGAGACCAAATTTATGCGAAAACGCTTATTTGCCAAAATCTATGTTCGCTATTTTAAAAACGGTCATTTTATTATATTTTCTAATTAAACTACTAAATTGATTTACATATTTATATGGCAGCACTGTTTACTATAAATATGTTTATATTATGAAGTTCTCTGAACTACGCCTGAAATTGATTCTTAAAATTCTCTCTTTTTTTACAGAAACCCAAAGACCTTGCACGCTCTATTTCGAAAGGTATCACAGCGCAACTGGATATCATTGGCGGAAAAATTGTGGGGCTGTGAATGTAATGTATTTACAATTTCACATATACATAAGCTAATATTTAAGTCCAAAAATGCTGTTAATTGTTCTTGTTGATGTTAATGTTATTTTTATTTTTACTTTTTCAATAAATAATTTATTATTTTAACATTAAATTCTTAATTTTGGTTTCTGCTTGCGTACTGATTACATGAAACAAGAATTTAAGCATAAAACTAAAATGTATTTAACATCGTTTAACAAATACAAAAAAAAAAAAAATCAACGGATGACTTTCAATTTGAACATATCGAGCCCTAACCGCCAAAATAACGTAAGCGACATTTTTTTCAAAATTTTATTTTTGATGCAGAAATGCATCTAGATGCCCTAGGAATATTTCTGCATCAAAAAGAAAATTTTGAAAAAAATGTCGCTTACGTTATTTTGGCGATTAGGGCTCGATATGTACATACATTGGGTAGTCCGAGGCCGAGTATGCACATGACTTCGACGTTAGCATTTATGTAGATGCGTACATACTACTTAGACATAAGAAAACTACAATCAGTATGAAAATTCTGCGTTATAAGATTTGCTAAATTTTTAATAAATTGTCTTTCTAACAATTATACATTCGTGTTAATCACCTATTTCAATTGACAAATGCTTTAGCTAAGTGTATTTTCTTAAATTCAGAAATTCCTTATGAGGCGTCTAAATTTCCTAAACCTCATTATGTTTTTTCTCGGAATTTTTAATCTGCAAAAACACACTTTTCAAGGTGTTCGTATTATAGAATATAGATTTGAACGCTAATTGGCAGTTTATGCAGTAGAATTAATAAACATTGCACTGCAAATTCGTTAAGCTATTGCAATTCGAATGTCATTCGGCTTTAATATAAATAACGAAATGCAATAATAAAAAGAAATTTAGCAGGCGGACATTCCCGCTTCTCTTCAATGTCTGAATTGCTGGTTTTTAATAATCAGCCCACTATAAATTACATAAAACATCTCTGTAGATAACTTAATAAATATTTTTGGCACAATTTGCATACATGTTATATCTATGTATGTGTGTGTATGTATGTATAATATAATACTAAAAATCGTTTACGATTACTATATCAAATATATGTATTTTAATGACTAATCCTAATCGTTTCTCACTTCATTAATTCGTAGATAAATAGTATCTTAATTTAAATGCCATTAATCAATAAGATATGATAAGAATACTATCGTTGCCTTTAGCACAACGCTAAAGTCGGCTTCAGTCCTCCCAACTACTCGTTCGTGTTTGTGGATCAATCGATGGCGAATAGGATTTATAGGTCTCCGTTTCCTTTTTGTGTTTTACGGTGCAGAATAGCAGCATCGACGTGATTAAGCCGAAGAGTTGTACGAATGCAATGCCCAAGGCAACAGCACCAACCACATTCAGTTGACCTTGGAACCAGGCTTGCAATGAATGCGCGCAACCCCTACTCCACCAGAGGCTGGGATTTTCGGATCTAAAAAAATAAGAAAGGATGTGAGAACAAATTGGTTTGTATATATGTAAATGCAAGATCAATACTAATTTAATTTGGAGAAGCTTTTCATATTAAAAAATTACAGATATGTACATTAGGGTGGTGATAAAAATGTAAACATCTTAATTTTTTATGAGGAACGCACCTCTTTATTTTGTGCTACGTACAAATAAAGACATCTAGGAACATTTAAAATGTTAAACAAACTTTTAGGGGTCACTACCAGGGTTTAAAAAAAGGAAATGTTTTAGATCGCAAAAAATCGACAAAATGTTGACTCGAAATCTGATAAATTTTACATATTAATAAAGCTCATTCAAATAAATGCATGAAATCGCTGAACTATAGCTGGTCAAAATAAAAATGAAATTTTTTCAAACCCTAAAAATTTTATTTTTTTAATATTGACATTTTTGTGGACGTCATTATTTTGCACGTGACCTCTGCAAGAGATAACCATAAGCTCAAATTACATCAATATTCACACGTCCATATCGTTCAATTTGGGCCATTGATATGGACGGCCTTATTAACGTCATTTTCGAAAAAAGACGGGCCAATGACGCTGATGCGTCAAGCTCAGCACTGAACAGCAATTTTTTTCAGATGATCTACAAGTAGCGCCGGATTAGAGGCGGGGCCGACGGGGCCGCAGCCTAGAGCCTTCACATGTTATAACGAAGGAACAAAAAAAAATATTTTTTCAGAGATTACAGAAAAGATCCCTAGGTATTAAGAATATTTGTCAGCACCATCAATACATCTTGCGGAACCTAGCTTAGCTTCTCCTGGCTCTGACCAAATTCTCGACTTACCCAATAATGGAAATTTCCGTAGAATGCTGGAACTAATAGCTCAGAATGACCCCCGGACGTATCAAAGAATACGGAAATAAGGGACGAGGGCAAGTGAATTACTTATCCTCATCAACCAGCGCAAAATAATAACTTTAAAGGGTGAGAAATTACACGAGGCAGAAATACGCGAGGCTGCCGTGGTCAGTTGGTTAATACTGGATGCAACATGAGCGACAAGTACAAAGGAATTCAGGCGAGAATTTTAAAAGAAAACTCAACTCAAAAACTCAAAAAGGGGCCCCCATATTCTTAATCCGGCAGTGCCTACAAGCTTTGTTTTCCGATTAATCTGAAAAGTACAGAAATCTTAAACAATTTGTATAGACCTCATTAATTCTCTTTCCGATTATTTACCGAGTTTTCTAAAAGAAAATACTATGTACACACTTCGATGCTTTTACGAAATTTCGGAAGAAAATCGGTACAGCAATGGTAATTTTTTAGAACTTTCTTCACAGGAGAATTCATAGCTATACTTCAGAACTTTCCATCCATGTGATTGTTATTGTGTTTCTCTCCCAATTCGGAGTGGAAGAGCAACTGAGAAAAGTTCTTAACTCTTTTGAGTTGCTAACTCAACTTCGTTTTTGCCATTATTGCCATACTTGACCTTAACTTAATTTGATATTTAGTCTTTTCTATTCACACGGCAAAAAAAAAATTTTAATTTATAAAAAAATATCTAAAAGAAATACTCAGCATAAGAAAAATATATGTTAAACACTTGAACTTCAAATTTCAAATTACGAATTAAATTTCATAAATGTTGGCAACGCCGGTCGTTATCATTGTGACAGATTACAGGCGTTTCTCTTCGTAAGCAATGAATCCGCCTTAAGAAATCCTACAGAAATTCCTCTACGAGTTCGTGTCATTCACTTCATTTCCTTTGAAGGATCGTAAAAAAATCTTTATACAATTTGGATACTCTTAGAATTTCGGGAACTTTGGTTTTACAGGTTATACCTGGTTCCTTATTCCTACAGTACAGGCTCGAGAAACGCCGCTAAAACGGCAATTCCTATAAGTATAACTAGTATGAAGACTTTCAAATATGTAAATTTTGTTGTATCCTATTCTCACTGATTGAACTTTGCAAACAAAACTTATCAGTGACTTGAAGAAAATCTAGGAAACACTTTCCACAGATCTAAAGAGTAATGAAAGTTCATCAGGAGAACGTAAGTAAGTAATTAAGCTTAATAAGAGAATTTCCAAACAACATGTGTAAGTGCCAAAATTTACAAATGTGCAAATCGTTTGATCCCTGCTTAAACCCAGAATAAATATTTATAAATCGATATTACTTCTGAGGCGATATGAACCTCTGTTAAGTAACATTTATGCACTTATATATAAGAATACATATAATAATGAGACTTTACTTACTTCCCACAATCGACTCGCAGAAAACTGTCTCCAGAACCCTCGGTCAATATGCTACGCGCCTCCGAAGGCCGACAACACGACTCGGGTACCCAACGTTTGCCACTCCACGACTGAATATCATACCAGTCTTCATACGAGGATACGCCACAACACTCGAACTAGTCGATTCATAAACATTAAAATAAAATAAATCTATTTAGTAGGCATTTGACGTAAGAAATCCTTCTTCCACTCACCGATTGCTGTACACTGTCCCAAATGGCGGCCACAGATGGCGCCACCAAACTGCCACGATCCGAAGCGTTATAATGCAGCTCGATGCCGAAACGTAACTCATTGGCAAAAGTGCGCCCTAAACCGCCGCGGAAGAGGAAGGCAATAGAGCCAATCAGAAACTCGCTCAGGAAGAGCATAACAATCAACAGGAAGTACTACAATGGAAGAACAGAAAAAAAAAATGTATTAAATTCACCCAAGCAGTGACAATAAAAATTAACAGCATAAACATTTCCACTAAAGCTTACCAGCACTAAAAAACAACGCGATTGCACCCAAGCTCCACAGCAGCCGAAAAATGAGACAACAAAGCCGACCACACCGATCGCTAAGAAAATCGACTCGGCGCTTAAGACGTGATGATCAGGCAGCAGTGTGGCGTAGCCCTCATACGACAGTCGCAGCCAGACTCCGACACCAAGAAAAGCGCAACTGCAAAGCTGAAAAAAAAAAACGAAAAAAAAAAGTTTGATTGCGGAATTTCTTGAGAATGTTAAGTGGGTTTTTGTGCGTTCTAATGAGTTGCAAAGAAATGCATTTGCCCAATTTTAAGCCGCTGTGGCAATTGTGGCGACACGTTTTTACTCAAAAAAAAAAAAAAACTCGCTACTCTGCCAAATTGGGCAACTTATGTAAAACAAACTTAATCAAGTAGAGTAAATTTACTGTAATTTTCATTCAAATATAATCATTAAATGAAGTATTGCATGTGCAGCGCTCATTAGCAGCGACACGTCGCCGACCGTCATTGCAACTCCATATGCACATACATACATATGTACATACTTATGTATCTCACATGCCAGCAAAGTCTATAAAGTTTGCACAATGCTACGCTGGTGTTGACGCCGGTTTCGGTGTCCATTGTATGCAATCATGCACGCCTCCATTCTCACAGACCATTTCTTATGCTCTGCTTTGTTAACTTATTGGGTTCATTATTGTTGCTATTGCCGCGCATTATAAGTTAGTGTACATATATAGTTCGAAAATCGGAAAACACATCAATTTCCGCTGCAGACGCATCTATATGTATGAATGTATGTTTGCAGGCATTGGTGGCAGCAAGAAAAGGTGAACAACACTTCAGCTACACACATACATATGTACATATATGTATATATATGTACGTAATTACCTGCCGTGAAGCGCATCGTCATTTTGGCTCATTAAAGCATCAACAAAATTCTCATTATTCAAAAATCGTATTTCAATGTGTGGGAAAATGTGAGGCTGGCATTGAAATCTTATTAGCCTTTCAACATATGCATGTGCATTAGGGTGGTTCAAAAACAAAGGTTTAAAATGTTACGCTCTCACCACTCGGATTTTTCTAAATGGAAAAAAGAATATTCGTATATTTGTTTAAAAAAGGATTTTTAGCACTGCAACTAAGGCAGTTCTAAATATTTTTTTACAAAAAAAACCGCGCATCTATTCTTTTTTCCATTTAGGAAAACCTTAGGAGTGTGAGCTTAACATATTAAACTTCTTTTTTTATACAACCCTTTTGTGTGTAAATATAAACGCTTGTAAGAGATGAATTTAAATATGTAATTAAGAATCGTTTTCCCAAAAAAAAAACCGGGTAAGAGCATAAGTGAGAAATAAATACGAATTCTCCAATCACTGCTAACCGACTACATAAATAGTGAGATGAGTCTCCAATTATGCCAAAGGTAATTCACATACCAAGTACCTTCACAATGAATTGGTCGGATGAAATAAAAAATGTATTTAAGAGCAGAAAATTCTCTGCGTCTTAAAAGTATTTTCCTATTGTTTGATACCAGTATTGTAATATTTCATTTATTTTGCCAATTTTAATGGAATAAAATTTTCAAAATAGGTGGCAATCCTCCTCAAAAATATATCCGGCAGTAAACTTTCCTAAACTTCTTCAATTTGATACCCATATTGCAATATTCAATTTATCTCATCAATTAAATTAAATTAAAAATTTCAAACAGGTGGCAACTTTTCATAAAAATATTTTCGGCTATAAGTCTTCTTAAGCCTCTTTCTTTTGACAGCCATATTGCAAGATCCACTTTACCTTATCAATTTACTTAAACTGCAATTTTCAAACAGGTGACAACTCTCCATTTCTTCCTGCTATATTTTAAACTAGACCTCTAGAAATATATCGGTGATAACTGCATTCAATTCCATGCATTAGTTTTCGAATGATGCGCGTACAAACATACAAACAGACAGACAAGAATTGTAAAAATTGTTGATTTGGCTACTGTTGCTCTTATAAAGGCCCCCATATTAATTTTTCTTTAATACCTATAGTATACAGACATCGGCAGGCTACAATTTGTAGAGGACACTAATTTGTAGAGGTCACTCTCAATGGACAAATTTGCCTACGAATTAAAGCAAGGAATATTCCTAACCTAACCTAACTTATTTGATACCACTTCGTTAAACTCAAACATTTACTTCAGTTTATCGTTTTTTTTTTTTCAGAAAATTACGTAGAGCATGTGCATTTTGCTTTCATTTTTTACAAGCATTCTACCTTAGACATAATACCAATTCGATCTCTACTAACATATATTCATAATTCTAGGTATATATGTATTTAATTTAACGCTAGGTGATGCGATAATCGGGGTATTTCTAAAAACATCGGCCCCAGCGACACCCATCGGAAAGAAATATCTGCATTTTACACTGGAAGTTAATTTCGGGATCCACAAAACTCAGTTCAGTTTTGCCTTATTGATTTTTAAAAAAGCAACTTTACAAAATATAGAGGAGTTTCTCATACACCCTACTAAATAATAATATTTTTCTTCATGCATTAAGAAGACTTTTTAGTTGCAGAAAACCTATGCGGTTATCCTACGCATTTTGTTCTCGTTTATGAGGTACTTTTCTTTGTGTAAGCCAACTTTGAGGACCGCTATATTTACAACTATTTTAAATAGTATACCAGTTGGCGAGTGATATAAATATAAAAATGTCGCCGTCTAAAGAGTCCATACATATTAATTAAATTAAACTTACCCATAAAATTATATTAAGCCAGCAAAACGTCCTTCGAATGCACGTATATCCTGCATTGCCCATTTTGTTGTTTATTTATAGCTGTTTTTTATTGCTGTAATTAATAAGATATCAATCATGAGAACTAAGTGTGTGTGTGCTTGTAATGATTATGAATCATAATTTAAACTTTAAAGAATAAAGGCAATGCCGTATTATACTAAAGCCAGCCTCGCGACATAAGCTACTAAATATTTCATACGAACACAGATAGGTACTTTGCTGAAGACGTCTCAGCGCAGTTTGTCACCAACCACTTTCTTCTAAAAGTAAGCAGAGTTTTTCTAAAATTCTGTTTTCATTGGCGTAATTATTTATGATTTTTTATGAAGCAATTTTTAAACCCAAAAAAGCTGGTCACAAATCCACAGACACAGAAAAGTGGGTCGGCACTGATAACTCCGACTTAATTTATTAAAGAATCTTTCCGCTACTGTTTACACAGATTATGGCATAATTCTGCAGTAAAAATTGCACATACATGTATATGTACATATAGGTAGTAACGGTAAATACAGTAGTCGCTCAGTATAAAGCACTTTCGGAATAACGAATCAACAAAATTATCTCAGTAATGTTTCTAGATATATTACGAATGCTAGTGAATTTTTACAATAACAAAGTTTTTTTTTAATTAACGGTAGTTAAATTGTTGTTGCTCATCTGCATAAAAAAGTTTGTTTTAACATCAAATTACCATTGACTTTGGATTAATTGGCTATTCATAAGAAAACGGAAATGTTTGAATATTGTTGTTATTGAAATCAAATTTCTGTCTTTTAAACACAAATTTGTTCTGAAAAAAAATGTGTTTGAAGGCAGATGCATTTTAAAATTTTTTCAGAACAAAATTTCTGTTTAAGAGGCAAATAAATTTTAAAACTTACTTGAGAAAAAAGGCCCTAAATATAAAGATACTTAGATAGATATAAATAATAATAAAATTAAATATATATACATTCTGTTATTTATTAGCGGTAAGATAAAAAAATCTAAAATTTATTGGATTTAACGAAATTTTCGATTTTACCAATTAGGCGCGCAAAATAAAATTCGTGAACGACCACTATAGATGTACATATGTATATATATAATATGTTGATATATTTCCGCACACAAATGACAAATGAACTAAAAACAATCAGAATGAGGTCAGTTAAAATGAAATCATAAAACTAAAATAAATCATAATCGCGGATATGTCAAGCAATTCAGTTCACAAGCAAAGCAATGCAAATTTAAGTGCAAAAACATAAGCTCCAGTGCGACACCCTCACGAGAGACGAAATCAATTTAAATAATATTTGCATGTGCCCTAAATATCTAAATAATAAAAATAATAACAAATGGCTTCCGCTCATCTCCAGCAGGGGTTTGCATTCCAGCTGTAATAGCCAATTAATAGGTACTTACATATGTACATATTTTATTGCATAAGACAAGCATACATACATATGTACATTTGTATGCCACCACAGGCAGTTAGACGTTGCACCGAATACTTTTACATTTACACCAGGTTTCTTATATTTTTTTTTTTTAAACAGAAAACTTCTGAGCTAGTCGAACGTTCTTTCACGCTTATAAGTATGCATGTATTTACTAATTCAACAAATTATCTTATACAATTGTACGTTGAAAAACCAAGTGCGCTGATAAGATAACATCCATTTGCATACGTGACTGCTTAGAGTTGCAATTTGTGCTAAAAAATATTGCTTTAAAATTACAAAAAAAATATGTTGACCTTCGAGCTGCTGTTAACTACACATTCGGTGAGCTGATCTAATCCGTTAAACAACGTGTTGCTTTATTTATTTAGTTCCTCTTTTTCTTATTTATTTTAATTTATCTTAGCGTAATTAGCTTTGGTATTCTGAAGAACATGACAACACCCACTAGATATACCAACACAAAATATGCTTAGAAAAAATCTTAAATACAGCGAAAAATATATGCACACACATACTACATACATATGTATAAGTACTTATCATCGACGTGCTGCACGGCAACAGGTTGATAAGCATCTTCGCTAAAGCATCTTCGCTAAAGCAGAAGTAAATCATATTTCGTACATTTTTCTTGTGTAAACTTGGCCAATTTTATCGACCGCAGCTTCCCAGTGGGAAAATGTAATGTATAGTAGTGGAAAAAATAAACATTAAAACCACGCTTTTCACATTCGAAAATGCATTTTTTCCCCATGGCAATTACCTAGCATCGAGAATTGTATGTCATTTAATATGAAATCTGCATTACTCCTTTTCCGACTGGGTTTGTACAGCTCAACGAATCCATTATTGTCACAGGAAACTTACAAACATATTCGTATAACTCGCTGGCGAATAGTGGATTTGGGGTTTCCTACCTCTACTGTGATCTTCTGATCTTTTGTTTTCATGGTCTTCCTCAACAGCTTGCTGGCGCTTTGTGACCTTGCCATTTCCATACTTGAACTTTGCCTACAAAATGTATTCTTCTCGAAATCAGTCTGCTCCTCTCTGATCGATAAGCTGGCAAGACAACGATCGGTCATAAAGTAGATTGCTCTGATCAACAACAAGCTGGCTGTGTCGCCATTGGCAGCAAGCTATACTTCTTGAGGACACAATACGCTCGTTGTCTGCACTACAGATCTCCCGATACATTTAAATTTTGTTAGAAGAACTGGCCTCGGGATCTCCCGTGCAAAGGTGCTGTATGTATGAGTGCGATTACACCTGCTATATGCCGCCAATGTGGGCCTTTTTCTAGCGCTGCAGCCGGATAAAGCCGAAGTACTCGATTCGTGACTGGGCTCACTGAAGGCCTCACCCCTCTTCTGGCTATATCTCGATATGGGTCTTATCACCGCTATATCTGGCTCTGAATGTAGAAAGGAATAAAGGTTTTAGGCAGACATGGAATCGCACATTTCAGAAAATCATTGAACGAGTCCTTAGCAGGAAGCGTGAACGATAAGGATTTCTGTAGTCAACACACCGTGGGCAGGGAACAATGGATTCTGTGACTGCAACACGTTTAAGTGTTTTAAGTCTCTTCGCCTAGTTTCAAAATAGTTTTTGAAGGATGCCACTCATTAGGATCGCAGGAATTACTCCATATATGCTGATAAGAGGCTTGTTTAGTCGTGTAATTGGATAGACTGTAAGGACTGTACCCCCTTGTAAATCGGAATTATCTACGACCCTGTTCGCGTGGACGATGGCTTTCGGAGAAGAGCGAATGGCAAAACTGTATGAACTTTTGAACGACATTCACATAGTTAAGCGCTTAATAATACAACGATTGCGCTGGTTTGGACATGTTGTACGCATGGGCGACGCTCCGGTGAAAAGATCCTTCGACTCCGCACTGATGGGTGGACAACGAAAACAAGAGCGCCCACGAACACATTCAAGGACTAAGTGCGGGAGGATCTGTCTGCACTTGAGATGACTAAGTGGTGCAAATTCGCACAGGAGAGAGGCAATTGGAGAAGCTTTTTTGGTCTCAGCCCAAACCGATAAACGGTTGTAGTTCACCCCTATAGATAACATATACTTTTTTGTATGAAGGTGATCATTTGCACACAACTAGGAGCAACCAAAACCCGCAATCAAGTAAAGTAAAAGAAAATTTATTAATTTAGCAACGGAAACTTTTGCTAACAAACCTTTTGCAATAATGGCAGATATTTTTAGAAAATAAAGTAATCTGTTGCAAATACAAAGTATCCGCTTTTTAATTGCGATAAGTTAAAGAAATTATATTTAATGTCCTATCAAACCGGTCTACAATGTCTAAGATACATTCTAATGCATTCAAATCCAGAAAGTAAATATTTGACTCTAATTTTTATTTCTTGATGCTATTATGAAGAATGGCACAGTTGCGTAATTACTATCAAAGGCTCTCATTTATATTTAAAAAGAAGTGTTTGTATAATAGTTTTAATTTCAAAAACAGCCCCCTCCCCCCAAGGTCCAGGGAATTTTTGTCTAATACAGAACCTTATAAATTTTTCATACTTTCTTTTACTTATTCAATTTTTGCTTGCTTTCCTTGTAATAAATCTTAACCGCATTTAGTTACATTTGTATGTATATATGTTTCATGTTTATGTTGAATGAAACTTTTTCAGCCCTATACACATACAAACGGGTACATATTTACAATTTTATATACCGTTTAATATTGTTTTCACGACCATTTATTACAAAGTCTTGATTTCTTTTCTTGATTTTAATTTACGAACATGAACGCGTTAAAGCAAAAATAAAATAAAAATAATTACAACACTATAATTACATCACACATACATACATACATACATCTGTAGCTATGAAACGTAGATGCAATTCACACCGACGACGACCACTAACTAACTATGTGTGTGTGTACTAAGAGTACGCCAGCAAAAACTTTAAGTACGATTCACTTAGAAAACGAGCGGAGTAAATCACTTTCATCCGCGACATTAAATTTAATGGTCAAACGTTGCGGCTCAACCGATCCCTGCCTGTTTGGCGGTTGTTGATTGTGATGTGATAAAATGCGAAGAACGACGCGTGCGCACGCAAAACTCTTCACTGCACAACGGCTGTTGGCGGATTAAACTGGCAGACCAGAGGTCAGCAGCGATTTTCTGTGTAGTACACTCGCTGGCGGTTGTCTAAAAAAGAAAAATAATTTCTATAATAAACAACGACGAGTCAAACATTTGGTTGACCATTCAACCGACCAGCTGCATATACTCGTACAAAAGTGTGGACATTCATACTTACATACTTATGTCTGTCTACATGTTTGTATAAGAAATGAAAATTTTAAATTTTTTAGAAACAAAAAAAATTATGATTGTAAAAATTACTGCAATTTATATGAAAGTGTACGTACAAACATACATACATACATAAATGCATACAAACATTTGGACATACACACATACATATATCATTGTAAACCGCGTACAGCGCTGCGCGAAAGTCACCAACTGTCGTTGGATTTTGATTTCGCCCGCTTGCCTGCCTGCCTATTCGCTGCGGACCTCGGTCGCCCGCTCCATTCGCTTATTTTCTAATTTAACTCAATAACATTTCAGAATAATGAATGGCATTTAAATTGTTTATTTGCAATTTACCCAGCGTAGCAGATGGAAATATGTATAGCGTATGAAAAATTAAGCTCTACTACGTTTCGACTGCGATTGCATTCACAAAAAAAAAAAAACGACTAGGTGCGAGAACAATATTAAGTATACAGAGGCCGCAGCTGTGGCTCGTTTCAAGCTTTTCGTCACGGTGGCGCTGTAGCGACAATGATTCGAGTTCGTGCTGGCGCAGATGAAGCTGCCAACGATAGCAATGCATTAGTTCGACATACATACGTACATATGTACATACCTACATATATGCATTAGGGTGGTTAAAGCTATTTTTTTTCAGTTCGTAAAATTTTAAAGTTAAATATGTATTGTAAGTTAATTCTTTGGAGATTTCTGATTGGACGAATTCTTATTCAATCAACAAATATTTTTGTAAGTTTTACATATTTTTATCAATTTTACAAAAATTAATGTATACACAACTCAAAAATCAGATCCGGAAATACAACTGCTTGTGGAACGTAGTAATTCAACGCAATTGATACAAAAATAGGCATAACAGTAGTTTTCTAGTTAGATAATACATATAATCACGAAGAAATCAATTTTTGCATTTGCATGATTTATCCAAAAAAAAAACGACCAAAATGTTTTTAGAGTTGAGCCTCTTTTATAGACGGTGTGCGATATGTACATACATATATTTTCCGTACGTAATATTGGATATAGTGCTGCTGATTCTGTGAACATAACTGTAATTATATTATAAATTTTATAACTATGACTGTGTAAGTTATTATTTTCTTAGGCGATGATTAATGACGAAATAATTTTCCTCCGTTTTTAGCAAACAAGATATTGACATTTTCAAAAAAGAGCACACCCATTCGTTATCGATTAATCGAAAAGTTTTTTTGCATGTATCGATATTGTTATCGATATTTTTAGCGACCCATTGATTGAGGTACATTGTACGAGGAATGTACGTATATGTAACAATATCGATAACAATAGCAACTGCTATCGATTACAATGAAATGATAATATTGGGAGTATGTATGCGATATATGATAGGTTGACTGCATTCAATAGCAGCAAAATTTAAGCGATTATTCATATTTGTAAATGCTTTAAATGCAAATTATTTAAATTTTAACATTATTGTACATAACTTGAAGAGTAAGAGCTTTTAAGTCTTACAAATGTGGAACAAATTGTGGCATTTTCAAGCACTAGTAACCGGTCTAAGATTTGCAAGTGAAAAAAGTAACGCGTTACAGAGAAAAAATGTAAAACATCGCTTGCCACTTTGAAGCTTAAACTGCGTGTGTGGCTGCCACAGTGCGGCATGCAGCAACCAAACAAGTGCATTCGACTAAATATGTTTAACCAACTAAGTGTTTTAAGCTGCACATCGCTGAACACTTACTACATAGATATGTTCATGGTATGCATGCGTGCTTATATATATGTATGTATGTTTACGTATGTGCATATGTAAGTAGTGTAAAGTGTCTTCTTGAACAGTTAGCCGCATGTGGTTCAAGTGACCAGAGAAGAGAATACTTGAATGACGGCTCGAACGACAAGTGCGATGATGTGAGTGTTGATCAGACAATGCACAAATTGCCAAACAAAGAAGGATAATTGTCTGGCATACTTAAAAGGCCATTCGCTTACGGGTTGGTCAGCTTTTTTATTCTTTCTTATACATACTTGTTTGTTTTGATTCAATTTCCAGCTTGCAGATATTTGTAATTCATACCCTAATAAATATGTATTTAAGAATGTATACACTGGTTTAGATGTCTAAATAAGTTTTTTTTCAAAAGCGGCCTCCCTACGACAGGCAATGGCAAACCTCCGAGTCTTCCTGCATAAAGCTTTTCACTAAAACCATTTGCATTCTGAGCCTGTGTAAAGATAGTTAGGTCCCACCAAACAAATATGTAATGGCCAAATATGTTGACAAGTTTTGACTTTTTGAATTTTTTATTATTCAATTTACTGTACATACCTGAGGATTTTTTCGTACGGAGAAATGGAGCGAAACCTTTAACAAAAAAAAAAAAAACATTTCAATACATCAACGTTGAGTCTCCAAACTTGCACTTTATGACACTAAAATCTAATGGGCTATAGAACTGCATACTCAAAATATGTCTAAGACATCTAATTAAAAAGATTGACATTTTCACAAAATATTGCACAAAGGTTTTTACTTGGGATTTACCAAAGAATAAACTATGCTTTTATAAAAACCTAATTAAATTTAAATAATAAAAAAACTAATAGTCAAAACTTGTCATTACATACCTACATACATATTACATATGTTAGTGGCGTATAATTGTGATTGCCATATCAGTTGTGATAGTCGTATACTTGCCTAGGGACAAATAACTATCGAAAATGTTCTTTGAGTAATTATTGTTTTATTTTAATTAATAATATTAGAAGGGCAAAATACGAAAATGTAGCAGTGCACATATTAGTCTTTAACATATATGTATTTTTTCAAAAACAACTAAAAACACAATTTTACTCTATCTGGCCCACAGTTTTCCGAATATACATACTTTGCAGATGTGTAAGAAAATGCCTAGCATTGTGAGCAAAGAAGAAAAATCAATGCGATTTATTAAACACTCGAAACTTGCACTTTATTGTACTAAAATTAAATAGGCTTCAAAACTGCATACATAAAATTTTTCTAAAAATTCAGTAAAAAACTAATTTTTGTGAAAATTTTTTATAAAATTTTAAATTTTTCGTTTGTAATTTTTTTATATTATTGATACTCTATAATTGTTTGTAACCAGTTATTATTATGTAACAGTCATCAACAGGAACAGGAGAATCGATTTTCTTCAAAACTGAGCACTTAGCACTAAACAAAATTGAATGTAAACAAATAGAAATACAAAACTCTCGTCTTGATCTCATCAGCTTTCATTCAAAAATATATCAAATCGGTTAAGAACTGGATGAACACTATTTTGAGCCCCACTTTTCGATTTCACCACTGTGAGATGGTGGAGGCAATAGTCTTTCCCAGGCGGTGATAAATGAATACTGAGCCCAAGCTAGCGACTTGTCACAAATCATGCCATAGTTGACGCTATTCTATCCAGCTCATCATCAGTCTATTGTACTTGTTTTTTTTTTTTTTAGCTACATAAGTGAAAAAGTAAAATTTTGCTTCTTTCCTAAAGCGGGCCATATCTGCAAAAGAGGTTTTAAACCTACATATATATCCTCTGATCGTACAAGTACACACCTTTTATTTGCACATTGTGAACGCCAACAGCAGCTGCAGTGCCCTCATTCACTTAGATCTTTCTAAAATTTCCAATTACCCGCTAGCGAGAACTTTACAAAACAGTTCAAGTAAACAGCATTCTTTTCGCAATTTTCCTTCGCTCTAAGTTGCACTGCAGCAGTTTTTTTTTTCGTTTTATTATTTTATTTTGTGCACTTTTCTATACAACAACAGAAAGCACTTTGCTACTTTCGGAAAAGCGACGTCAAGCGACAACTGGTTTGGTTGTTGTGGTGAAACGGCCAAGAGATTGCCGATAGCTTGCAACCGCAGCAATGCTATGTCTTCAATACAAAAAAAATATGAGACCTCGAAAATTTCCAAATTTGCTTAGGTGAAAGTTAACAGAAAATGTTCATACTATCACAGAGTGGCATTGTTTAAATAATAAATAAGAAAATTCTTTTCTTTTTTTTTATGATAAAATGACAGTGGCCTAGTTTACGAAGAACAATATTTTTTATGCACTTGTATTTTTCTCAGTTAGTCCATTAATTTTCCCTCCCAAAAAAAGTATCGAACTTATTTATTGACTCGCTGCAGTCAACCGCACCTGTTGCACATTCAACAAAATAATAGAAAAAAAAATACACACCGCATACTTGCATGGTTTCATATCCCCACGAAAAAACAAAAATGTGACTGCGCAGAACTTCTGCTGCCGCTGCTGCTGCTCATCGTTTGATAAATTGATTGCATCTTAGCATTTATACTGATTCGCTCATTTTTTATCAACCAACGCATCAAGCTTTAGATATCTACGTATAAATATGCACACAAGTATGTAACGGGTGATTTTTTTGAGGTTAGGATTTTCATGCATTAGTATTTGACAGATCACGTGGGATTTCAGACATGGTGTCAAAGAGAAAGATGCTCAGTATGCTTTGACATTTCATCATGAATAGACTTACTAACGAGCAACGCTTGCAAATCATTGAATTTTATTACCAAAATCAGTGTTCGGTTCGAAATGTGTTTCGCAAACCCAATTGCTGCGAACGGCGACGAATCGACATTTCACGGTCTTCAGCAACACTCTCAGAAACAGACGCAATATTCTCTTCTGTACGCACTGTACGCATTCGTGTGGTTGGTTTAATGTCCAATAAAGTAAACTGAGTGCGAAACTTGGTCACAATCGCATTAATTATTTGCTCACTTGGTCGATTATGTAGACCATAAATCGGACGTAAAGCGAACCGAACACTGATTTTGGTAATAAAATTCAATGATTTG